ACAGGACGAGCGAAATTACTACAATCCTGCCTCCTGAATTAGTTGAACAGGCTAATCCTCACAAATGGATAGGATTTACAATATGATTGTGAGGTTTTTATCCAATTGCATAAATCTATGTATAGATGTAGGTCCAAATTTATAGATGCTGGATATAATATAGCAGAAAAAGATATGGACGTTTTCATCTGGCAACTTTTATGTACATTTTAAATCACTGTTTAGTGTATCTTTCTCTCAATAAAAGTAGCATACTGAAATAGAGGAATTTGTTACAATAAAATATAAAGCCAGGCTATTACATTACTAGCCCAGTAACACAATGCCTTGAACGTTTAAAATTGTATAGAGGAAGTTATTTATAAAACCGTGTGGCCAAAGCCACCACCTATGCAGTTGGAAAGACACCAGCTAACGATAGCAAATAAAGATAATTGTTTTAAAAAATACATGTCTTGGCCAGCGCTGCGGCTCACTAGGCTAATCCTCTGCCTTGTGGCGCCGGCACACCGGGTTCTAGTCCCGGTCAGGGTGCTGGGTTCTGTCCCGGTTGCTCCTCTTCCAGGCCAGCTCTCTGCTGTGGCCAGGGAGTGCAGTGAAGGATGGCCCAAGTGCTTGGGCCTTGCACCCCATGGGAGACCAGGAGAAGTACCTGGCTCCTGCATCGGATCAGCGCGGTGCGCCGGCCACAGTGCGCCAGCCGCGGCGGCCATTGGAGGGTGAACCAACGGCAAAGGAAGACCTTTCTCTCTGTCTCTCTCTCTCACTGTCCACTCTGCCTGTCAAAAAAAATACATGTCTTTATAATATATGCACTAAAATTTTATGTATTCTTTCTATATAAATAAAGGATTCAAAAAGGTATTGTGGTGCAATACCTTTCAAACACCCTTAAACACCCTTCAAACACCCTTGAAATAACTCTTTGCCAATCCCCTAATAGGGTTGTGTGACCTTTGTTTTTATAAACTTTCATATTTAATTCTAGTCCAAGAGAGTTATTTTAGAATACACTCTCCCCACTCCCACCACACATACACATATGCACACACACACACACACATGCACTGGTCAGAGAATCACAACATTCCAGAGCCTTGAGGAAATTTCAAGGATGGTAGTCTTACTCCATCCTCAAAGTGGCAGGCATGAAAATGGTTGCAGAAGGTGAGACCTAACTCTCAGGCCGTAGTGTACAAAGTTATAACAACTTCGATGTTCAGGTTCATTGTGAATCATCTTCTTCCCTATCAATTTCACAACTATTCTCTGTAAAAGTCTCACCTTTTCTTGCTTGGAACTATGCAAGTATGACTCCCTTTCCTGTACCTAAAGAGGAGCATAGTAATTTCCTACATTCCCTCAAACACAGCAAGTAAGCTAAATACATAGATGGTGTTTATTTTCTGTGATGATTCTCTTCCTGAATGGAGATAACTTCTAAGTTTCAAAGTCAATGTTGTGAAAGTAAACCAAAAAGCTGACTATAATATGAAGGTGCCTCAAAAAGTTTATGGAAAATAAATATTATGAATAAAACTATGTATGGATATAAAAAATTCTTATACCCAAATCAACATCTTTTATGTCCCCTTTCCATGAATGTTTGAGTCACCTGATATACTTGTCCCGGTGATGTGCCTGGTGGATTCATAAAATAACAAAGTGATTCTGTGTGCACAGACTTTTGTAGTTTGTAGGCAGTTTTTATTCTGAAACATTGTCAATCACACTGTCACAGGCATACAGAAATGCTGATGGAGTGTGTATGCAGTGAGTCATTTGAAAAATTTGCTGTCACTTCCAGGCATTCCTTTGGTATCCCATGGGAAATGCTCTCAAAGACTGGAGGGGTGAGGGAACAAGCAAGCCTCATCACTCACACTCTACCCAAGGGAGGAGATCCTAGCTAAGGCTCACCTCCACCCTTGATCTTGACCCAGAGTAAATACTGGGGTATAAGCCAGAGTTTCTTGACTCTTTCTAATTTGTCTTTTCCTAAGAGGGGAAGAAGAATATGGTGTCCCAGATACCTGGGATCTTGCCAGAGATAAAATCACAAACCAAATTAGGCTAATACAGTACAGCCCTTTGTAATTCCAAAATACTTTAAACACATCATTTTATTTAATGCATCTCTATTTTGCCACATATATTCCTATTCGATGCATTTTTTTGAAAGCCAGAGTTACAGAAAGAGAGGGAGAAACAGAGAGAGAGAGAGAGAAAGAGAGAATAATATTCCATCTGCTGGTTCACTCCCCAACTAGTCACAATGGCTAGAGCTAGCCTGGTCCAAAGCCAGGAGCCTGGAACTCTGTTCTGGTCTCCCACATGAGTAGAAGTACAAATGCTTGATCCATTATCCATTGTCTTCCCAGGCCCATTAGCAGGGAGGTAGACTGGAAGTGGAGCAGCTGGGATTCTAACCAGCTCCCATATGGAATACCGGTGTTGCAGGTGGTGACTCTACTTGCTACAACACAGTGCCGGCCCCTATTTTCAGTCTTTAACCTCCCAGCACTATATAGTTCTAACCATTTTTCACTTATGTGTGTAACATGATATATACAGTTAGACTGTCATGGCCCCAGTGAAAGGGCATGTACATTAAAAACAAATTAAAAGAGTCAAACCCTCATGAGAGTTCTTTGTCTTCTGCATGCCACCATCATGTGTTGGTGTTCTTTGTTCTAGTTAGCCTCTGGAATAGTAAGGGTTTAACATATCCCCCAGTCACAATAATCTCTCGATAATCTATTGAATGAATGATTTACAGACCTCAATAAGAATATTTTGTGAGATCATTTCCTGAAGAAAGTTATATTTTCCTTTTCTATTAATGAGCCGTTTGAATTGGAAGTCTTCCTTCACTGATGTCATCTGGGTTATCACAAGTCAAACATTTAACAATTCCATCTGCATCCATGGTTACCTACAAACATGGGAAGCTGCCACCCATCTGCATACCAATCCTTTTGCTTTGTTCTTGAAGTCATCATCTTGTCCTCTTGTAGCCAAAGTGGCATTAAAATTCTCCTTCCTCCAAGCAAGGAGAGTGGATTCTAGGCTAGCCTGTGTTGGTGAGAGAGAGATGCTACAGATGGCTGATACCCATGCCCCACTCTGCACCTAGGTTCTACAAGTTCTCTAACATCATCCTCACATGTCGATGAACATGTTGCTTAATCTCCTGACCTGGAACTCAAGTCATTTCCATTTAAGCATGGCTTTTCAGTTATTCTGTACATTTCCCACATAGACTATTTTCTCAATAATAAGAAATGTTGCTATTTGGGGGGATATATTTTAGACTCACTTATGTTCTATTCTATTGCCTACATTATATGATGTTTTTACTAATGTTATCAAGAATCAAATATTCGTATTAGTTCTCTTTTTTTTATTCCGAGGAAAATAATTCAATTTTTGGTTAAACAGCATCAGGACGATTTAAATTAGCAGAAGTACAAATAAGAAATTTAAAGATGTGGAGTAACACCAAATGTTTTCTTTATTCCAGGGTATTTCTATATGAAATTCCAATAGCAACTAACGATCCTAAAAATATTGTGATTCAAGTAATTTTGTAAATATGATAAGGATTCATAATAGCTATCAAAACTCAAATCAAATAAATATGCCAGTGAATTTAAAAAGGATTATTTGGGTCCATTTCAATCATTTCAGTAATATTATTTGAAATATATATTTATAGATCAGAGCTCAGTGTGCATATGTACAACCATGTCATATGAATTTAAAATATTTTACATACACCTATCCACCATTGTCATTCAGCTTTGAAGTAAGACAAAGAATAAATTTAGTATTTATTTACCATTGCCTCTGTTTCATTACATCATAGGGAATATCATTCATACCTGTAAGAATATGTGTAAAGCACTAGATATGACAGTGTGAAATAATTTTTCCTAGGTAAATATTTTATTTGTACTTTCAAAACCTGCAGCTTTTCCTCAAAGATTGATTTCACAGTGTGATTTATTTCTCACTGCTCAAAAACTTTACAGGTTTTTAAAGCTTCAAATGTATTTATGAACATACAATCAATTTGATGTCCATGACTAATGTAAAATTCATTTTGCTCAAATTAAGTTTCCTGTAAATAGTATCTGAAATGGCTTGGTAATCTTTTCCATTCTTTTATTAGGTAACTGATCTCTGGGTAAAAAAAACTGGTTTGTTTTATGAGATAAGCGTCAGTTAATATTTTAGAAGATATTATTATCATTCTTATTGATTTTTTCATTATTTTTTGTGAAAATTAATAAGAAATGCTCAAAATTCTCATTTTTTTTTATTTCAGGGAAATATGTGCATAATTGTTTCTGTGTAAATGCAATAGCACCCTCTGGAGGCCTAGAACACTTTGCATTTCCATAAATCAATGTCTTCTTTTGTTAACCCTACATATTTTTAACTTAGACATTCAATATTTTACATTCTGATAATCATATTTGTCTCTTAAGAGAGATTAAAATAGATTAATTATATTTAATATATTATTACTTTCTAACCTGCGTTCATTATGATTTGTGTGCCATCTAATTTGTAATGCTACAATGTAATGACAAAACATACAGCTCAGCTGATCTTGGTGATGTTTTGAAAACTTTCAAACTTTTTAGCATGTGAAAATGTTTTCCAAACAAGAAATGACAACTCTTGTGTCCAAAATCTCTTAATATCTGGTTCTATGTAGGCAACAGGGAAATCATTTACCTCCTTTGAAGTTTCCTCATGGAAAAAGTTGATTTCATTCTTCAAGTCGCTGGTCAACAAACACAGCTGTGGTTTTTCTGTGGTTTTGAAGCTAGCTTATCAGAGATGGGAGAATATGGAAAGGAGCAGAGGTCAAAAAACATCGGAAAAAATATCATGAGTCAACTGGAACACATTCAAGGTCCAAAGTGACTGCTATTGTGACATAATAATATAAATAAATGATCCCACAGTCATCGGCCTCTCTGTCAAAGCTCTGCATACAAAGGTCTTTTTGAAATTTGGGGAGTTGTAAGCCGAGTTGTTCATCCCCTCTAAAAAAGAGGATGAGAATATGACTAATACTGAGAGAGAGGAAATAATGTCATTCAGTTCTAAATGACGCCCAGGCTTGCTTCTTCTTGAAGCCTGTTCAAGAGGCCACATCTTAACCAGCTGAGGGATAGAGGAGTGGGACTGAATCCTCAGTGAAACATGACACTCAGTGGGAAGGTAGGTTCCCCTTGGAGCTAGTGTGAAGATGTCCCAAGCAGAATTCTAAATTTTTCATGCAAAGCTAAAAAACAAATGAAATTAAAATTCTAATCCAAAGCACCTGAATGCATTCAAGTATAAGTAAACAATTATAGACTGTATATGCAAAGTCATAGCAAAATGCATAGGAAATATTAATACCATAATAAACGTATATCTAATAAAGACCAGAAAAAAGAAAATTAGATGACCTAGAATTGCCTAGATCTTTCTCTCCACAGTATTATCCTTTTTGTCTCCATGTTTGAGTTTCCCCATCTTAAAGATATCTAATCATATACAAGTGTCAGCTCAGAACTCTGCCAGTAAAATTTAACCACATAAATCACTATAAAACATAAAAATTTCCATACCACGTCATTTAGATTTTGCTACTGGCTTTCCCAAGTTTATCCAGCTGTAGGGTTATTGGGTAAGTTTCACAAGCTCTCCATGCTTTGGTTTACAAAAAATGGTGAGGAGAGTTAGTAAAATGATGAGATGCTTGCAAAGCATTAGATGATATCTCGCACATAGAAACAAATTCTGATTTCCATACACTTTTAACTGTCTTTCAGACACTTGCCTAGGCACTGTCCCAAACACCTTGTAAATATTAACTAATTTACTATTGCTAACAATGTTATGAGGCACCTAATATATTATCATCATCATTGTCATCGTCCTTGTTGTCATCATAATCACCATCATCATATTAACAGGTAAATCTGAGACACAGGTTAAGTAAGATTCCCAGAGTAACAGCATTAATAAATCCTGGAGACAGAATCCAATTCATTCACATAGAATATATTCATTTAACTACCAGTTGGTTCTGCAGTGGTGCTACTCATGTTATTTTGCTGTTCTTGGACAAAATTGTCTTACAACATTCTACTTCCATATTCATCAAATAAAACTACATCACAAGACAGTAATTACAGCTGAGTGTAAACTGAGAATAAAGTGAGAAAACTAAACACAAGGAGCACCAGCCAGCCCCTGGGTCCCCTGTGCAACCAGGTTTGGATTCAGTACACTCCGGTGATTTTCCCATCAGAATCACTTCCCCAGTGGTTCTCATAGGCAAAGGCTGGAATCCTCAAGAGACTTATCCGTCAGAGAGCAGTGGGCTTTAGTATGATGAGATTTGTGCTTTTTGAGTTTTAAAAGGGAAATGGCAAGTGTATTGCCTGTGAATTTTGATGTTGTGTGTTTGGTTCCTGATAGAAGACCAGATTTTTCTTGTAAAGGAGTGATTGTTTAGTCTAGTGCAGACTGCATAGGGACATCTTTCTGTATTCCTCTAAATATAGGATCTCAAACTTAGTTGTGCATGAGAATTTCCCAAGAGATTCTTATCCAGAAGGTCTAGAACATTTCAGGACTAGAGTGGTTCTAGGGAGCCAGAGGGAAGATTTTTTCAGAATCTCCTAAGAGCTGTTTCAAAGCCATAAGCCTGGATGCTTTTGGGATTGGAGGTAGATAGAGTTTTCAGGAAAAATTAAGGAAAGTTAATTCAAAATTACACTTCTAGAATTAATATCAGGGGTTTCACTGAAGCTGGATAGTTAATCCCGATATATTTGAATCAACTTTGTATACAGTTCCACAAAAGGTGTAATATTGAGGAAGTGACTTAACCCTTAGAAATCTCTAAATTCAGGTGTTAATTGCAAGTGATATTAAGGAAGTATTAATGATATTTTAATTCCATGCCCAAAAATGCACAAAGACATACTTTTCATTCTATTATGACCTAAAGATAACTCAGTAGAAATAATCACAAAATCAACAATTGACAGCTAAATCCATGTAACTTATAACTGATTTTTCACAAGCTTTCCACTTCCACTCAGCTATTAGCATCAAGGAAAGAGTTGATTTATTCTCTCTAAGCTTCATAATGAGCACATAGACTGAATTGAGTGTTCTATTTATTCTTGGTTGAAAACTGGCAAGGTTGCCATTGGACCAAGAAAAATGTTTTTAGTGTTATTATTAATATCTGTTAAGAACACAGGGTCTGGATTGTGACCATAACATTTATAATACAAAATTTATAGTCTGTCAAACACTGAAAGTCAAAACTAAAAACAGTAAACAAACCAAATGCAAAAGCATAGATGGATTGAAGAACTACAGTTAGCTAATTTCTGAACAAATTAATTTTTATTTGTAATGATATTTTGGGTCTAGTAGGACTATCTTGAGATTCAAAATCAACTAATTACAATAATTTGAACAGAAAATGCTTACATTATCATGTTTGACTTTGCTGCTTATTGAAGCAAGTGATAATCAATGAAATCTCTAAAGAATCCCAAAACTCATTGTACCACAAGTTCTACCCTCTACTCATCAGCTCTGCCCTCTTAACAGGGCCTCCAAATCACGAATATAACCCATCTAAGGTTTATTCTTTTATTTCTTCTCTTAAATAACCAAAAAATGGAGATAGCACCAAGTGAATTTCAAAATAATTAAGAAATAGAACATGTATTATAGCAGAGGAAAAGTTTAACACCCATTTTCAAAACAAATACTGATGTGTATTCCATATATGTGGTAAGCATTGGAGATAAAAAAAGTGAGGCAATCATTCATAATGTAAGAGTGGGCTTTGCCAAGTAGGAAGTAGTGGACACTATTGAACTGGGAAATTAGTACAATGAGTTGTTAGCAGCATATTTTTTTTTTTCAAAAACAGATGAGAGTAAGTGAATATATTATTTCATGGAAGTTGTATGTCAGTATCTGTGTGAGTTTAGAAATTAAATAGATAATTAAAACAACCAATGAAAAGTGCTCTTGTAAATGTGTAGAAAATTAAACCTCAATTCTAAAGGGCTAATGGAGTGATTGTCCCATCCTAGACAGCTGGAATTGATCACTGAGGGAGTTTTCATATTTAAATTGGTCAAAAGTGATGGACTTGGAGGTAGAAAGGGAGGCCCGAAAAAAGGAATTCCAGGCAGAAGGAACTATCTGTGTCATGGGTTCTCAAAGGAGTTCTGATGGGAATGGGTCTGCAGGGAAAGCACACAGTTTATGGAGGCAATGGGAGGAGAACAGCCATTAGACCCAAGAAGCAAGTACATGCAATGGACTGATAAATCAGGGGAGGAGTGAGGGGGGCTGTCCAATTTGCTTTGCTTTGCTTACTTGTTTTAAAGAAGGTAATATTGTCACTCATGTGGACTGGAGAGAAAGGGAGGTACCTGACAGAGATACTTGTAGTCACTCAGACCAATGCTGATGGGGATCCGAGTACAGGAAAGGTAGAAAGGAGAAGGGCCAAGTTTGGGGTGTGATGATAACAGGAAGTCTTATGACCTCATAACTGCTCGTGCATATGTGCTGTGAAATAGATGATTTAAGAATGACCTTATTATTACAGAACTGCAAATATGAAAGTGTCAGAATGTATGAGAGACAGATATTTTCCCCTTTATGTATATCATTTTCTCTTCAACGGTGAAAAATTCTATAATTTTTTGAACCTTCATTTTTTTGACCTGCTAAATGAAAATGCATTTAAAAGCCTTCAATAAGAGGCATATAATTGTGTAGTCTTTTGAGGACAGACCATGTTTTGTCATTATAATGGCATAATTCTGTATTGTGAAACCAATTGGTTTCTGGCATCATCCTCAGTTGATTCAAATAGCTCTTTTTAAACCAAAAGCTTAAAGATATCAGATTATTTTTCTTTTACTTAAAAATAGGCTAACAAGATGAATACAATTAAGATTATACATATCACAAATTATTCTTATAAGAGAGAAATTAATCTGTCCTGGTCATATTGTGAAAATTATAGGGAAGTTTTATTTCCAATTCTAACCTTGTTTACACCAGGGCTTATAAACCTGTGTACATCATCTCCATATCCCATCATAATGAAAAACAGTTTTTAAGACACATGTCAAACCTTCCATCTGGGTGTCACAGAATCCCTAGCTCCACAAAGGAAGTCATCTAGTTCATAATAAGGTACTAATAAAAGTAGCTCAACCCAAGCTTTAGGATTCCCAGCAGGAATGGGGGTGGAGAACCTTTTTTCCTCCAAGAGCCATTTGGATATTTATAACATAACTTGAGGACAATACAAAATCATTGAATTGAAAATTGACCTGCAAGAGATTTATTGAATTTCAGGTCCCTCCTGTAGTTGCTTTGGCAGGGCCGGACCAAATGATTTTATGGGCCTTATACAACCTGTGGGCAGGATGTTCCCCACTGCCCTAAAAGCTTGTAGCTCAAACATCTATTTATGGGCATTTAAATAGACTTAACGGTCTTCCACCATTCCCCTCCCATATGTAAATAATGATAACCACTCTTAGAAATAAATATATAATTTTTTAAGATATTTTATTTATTTATTTGACAGGTAGAGTTATAGAGAGTGAGAAGTGAGAGAGAAAGGTCTTCCTTCTGTTGGTTCACTCCCCAAATGGCTGCTACAGCCAGAGCTATGCCAATTAGAAGCCAGGAGCCAGGTGCTTCTTCCTGGTCTCCCATGTGGGTGCAGCGGCCCAAGTACTTGAGCCTTTCCAGGCCACAGCAGAGAGCTGGATCAGAAGAGGAGCAACAGGGACTAGAACCGGTGCCCATATGTGATGCCGGTGCCGCAGGTGGAGGATTAACCTAGTGCGGCACGGCACTGGCCCCTAGAAATGAATACATAATTTAAGAATTTTAACAGCCCACATTAAAATAAGTCCCATTACTTAAAATGAACTGAACACTTTATAACCAAATCATGTAATATGTGATGTGTAATGCCCTGTGTTTCTAACAAAGTGAGTGCTTCTTTTTTCTCTTTGTAAGAGTTCCTTATCTGAGAATCACTCATCTGCTGGCTCATTCTCCAATTGTCCACAATAGTGAGGCCTGGGCTGGAGCTGAAGCTAGGAATTCAAAATACAATCCAAGTCTCCCATGTGATGGCAAGGCCCCAATCACTCCAGTCAAGACCACAAGACCACCACAACCTAGGGTCTGCATTAGGAGGAAATAGGAGTCAGGAGATAAAGCAAAGCTGGAAATTGAACCTAGACACTCATATGGCATCCAGGCATCTTCTCTGGCTGAATGCACACTCCTCTGAGTCTTATGATAGCACTTTACTGTGGGAGTGTAATTTGAGGAAATTTGAAGAGCACTGACAGAAAATTTGAAGACTTGCATTGTAGACGATTTTCTCCTTTCTCAAGATAACTGACAGATGACCGTTCTTTATTCTTCCCTAAAGTTCACTCTCCGATAAAAGGAGGAATTAAGATGAAATGTATGTAAAGAAACTTTTGAGGTTTAATATTATTTGATTTTATTAACAGCTTACAGAATGAAAGAGAAGGTGAAGAACCCTCTCAGCCTGCTCTCCTGGGGACTGAGTATATCTGAATCAGAAATAAAATCAACAGAAGTCACAAAGAACTTCAGCTTAGCCAACATCCTGAGTTCCCAGGTGAGAGAAGCAGTGGGAGTTATGAAGCTCCATGTCTGGCAAATAATTTGTGTGTAAAACCTTCTAAGAATGGTAGATTTTGTCCTGTTATTTATAAAAAAAATTCTTCTCTTGTTTTCCCTAAAGTGCAGATTCTATAATTTCTGATGAGTAGCCTCAGAATTATTAATAAAACATATTTGTCCACTATTCTGCATGTAGGTGGGGAATAAAGAATATATAAAGACTTGTTCTTTCCTATTTTTTATGTCTAAGATTTCTTAAACATTTGAAAACCATTTGCCCATGTAAAGGAACATTGTCTTTAAGTACATTTATGGCCTTTGTCTTCATAAAAGAATGTAAAACGTCGTGTGATTGTATTTACCAACATTCTCCTAGAGAGTAAATCCACGCTCATTGAAGTGGAAGACTAAATTCTTCTACTGAAATACTTTGAATTTGGTGAGTGTATCATTCTCCTGGGTTTTCAGTTCTGGAGAAATCTATGCAAAAAAAAATAGAAGTGACCAATTTTACTAAGACACCATAGAAAAATGTCTTACTGAAGAATTCTCAAGAATCCTCCAAGGGTGCCCCCATCTGAAAGGACCACAGCTATCTTTTGACGTTAACTAGACAAGTTCTGGTAATAGGCCCATGTCAACTCTTTTACGCAAAATGCACTGGTAATGTCAGTATAAAATCAAAGAACTATTTTTATGGATTCCTCCATCCTAGATTAATTCTGGCACAATACACCATTTTGAATTCAAGGTGGCCCTGGCCGTTTTATCAATTATCATCTTTGCTTTGCTAGAGGGTGAAGCACATTCCCCTGATGAGTGGGGTGAGGCTGGTTGGAGCACACTTGCCTAAAAGTGAGTGTGATAAACTGATTTTAAATGTGTGCTCTTCTTCAGTTGATCTTTGTGCTAATGAGGTCCTCAGGGTTCATGGAGTTTCTATTGAATATGAAAGCTTAGAAGCAATGCATTTATCTTCAATTTACATTATTATTATTTATATGTCTTCTAAACATATAAATAATAATATAGTAAGGCTTCTGGCAACTAATATATACTACTTGGTATATATTTCATGTTTATAAGATGCTAGGAGTTTAGTTTCAGGGAGTTTACTCCTTTTATCTAACTCTGTCCCTACCAGTGTTGGCAGTTACCAGCATTGTTAAGTAACCACATGTTATTTGTGGCTATTGTTTTAGACAGGATAAATCTAAACTATGACTTTCAGAGCAGCCCCAGACTTTGGTTAGTGGCCACCCAGATCCTGAAATCCAAGAGAATTGATCCTGACTATTTGCCACTCTTTGGCTTCTGAAAGTGTGTTTTGTCTTATGAAGTATAACTCAATGTCAAAGGGGTTTATGTAATATTTAGACTTGTATTACATGAAATTAATCTTAACATGAAAAATCTTTTGATTACAGAGTCTCTTTTGTCAATGATTGATTGACTTATTTATTCATATAATAATGCCACCATTTACTTCTATTTGTATTCCTGAGCTGTAACAGAAAAGTTTCTATTTGTGTTATGTTAGTAGGTGGATTACATGGTTATCAAAATCTTTCCACCTGTTTTACTATGCTCTCTGAAAACAACAGCTTCTTCTTTATATATTTTTTTGGTTAGTGACTCTCCTTCAAAAATCATTCTTCATAAAGAACAAAAATTTTGAGAAGGTAATGAGGATAATGGTATTATCTTTAGAGAATTCTCCTCTTCCACCCTCAACCTCATTTATAAGGAAGAATAAAATCCTCACATTCATCATATGCTGTTTATGAATATTTGGAAAAGAAGTGTCATATGTAGTTCAGTTATAGGAATATTATTGTAGACTCTACATAGGTGAGATAATCATTATTAGAAAAGAGTTACACCTCATCCCAAGCTACTTTGACCTTTATTTTTACTCAGAGGCAATCTTTATTTGCTTGTGACCAGAAATGGAGACAGTAGGAATATATAATTCTGCCTCCTGGACTACATTTTTTTTAAAGAGGATTCATACACAGTTGATAGTGAAAGTCCACATCCATCATTAGGAGAGGAGGATAACTTAACATAATACGAGGTGAAATAACTTAATATAATCTTTCATTCCTTTGCACAACATCCTTTGTCATTATATGGGGGAAAATAAAAGGCTGTCCTTCAGAATCAACACTTGCGCCCTTGGCTTGTTTACATTGTTTTTTTCTACCTCTTTCTCTCAATAAATAAAATGAATTGATGGAAGTAACTATGATCTTCTAATCTATTTTATTTTTACACTTTAGCTGTGTGATAGACGCACAGTAGAGTCTTGTTTGCCTTAAATAATGATATAAATAAGAACCTAAATGTTGATTTCTTCATTGACAAAGATACCCATAGTAATAGAAGATGAGATCAAGCTCATTAATAAACCAATTTTCAACATTTATTTATTGCAATGTACTATGAATTAAAACATATATAAAATAAGAAATAAAACAGTATTACAGCTCTTTGAAAACTGCATATGGTTTCGAGAAACCTAGAGTAATGCCAAGAGGCTAGTTTGGATTATAACAATATGGAATTGCTTGCTCCATGTATGTAGATAGCCTATAAGGATGTTGTGATTTAATGTTGCAGAATTTCAGAAATGACAGAGCTTGGTGAAGACAGGAGTAAATAAGCGAATATTCATGGAGGAGGTGGTACTTCAGCTGTGCCTTGATTAACAAAATTTGATGAGACCTCTGGGAAAGCAGATGACATTCCACTGAGAGTTACTCAGACATAAGCTGGAAAGTTTCTGGTAAAAGACAGAGATAGAATGGACAGGTTGGTAACAATGAAAGAGAATTGTAAAAGGAAAAATAGAAAGGTAGCTCTAGCAACACACATAGCACATATACAATAGATTATTTTTGTTCCATTTCAATAATAACATATTTTTAATGAAAATTATTAAGTCCTAAGATTAGGGTTAATCTTATGAGTATACTATATACTGAAAATAGATCATTGTAAAAATTAAGAGAGAATAAGAGAGGAAGAAGGAAAAAGGGTGGGAAGGAAGGTTGAGTGGGAAATACACCATGTTTCTAAATCTGTGTATGTGAAATACATGAAATTTATTTACCTTAAATAAAAAAATTTAAAGATTTTCTTTCGATCGTCAAAGCTTCAAAGAGAGGACAAGTTGTGATCACTACTTTTCCTCCTTGCCTTGCTTTCCTCTTCTGCTCTCTCTTTCTCTCCATGTTCTGAATGCCATGAGCCCATTTGATACCAGTGCAGTTTCAGTCACATTTGTATAGCACTTTCCTCACAGGAATGATTATGGAATAAGTAGGTGATGAGGAAGGAGACGCAGCATGATACCACTGTGGTGGGAAGTTTCAGAAGCTGGATTCTGGGCATTCAGCATCTCTTCAAGTATTCAACTGCCCTGTCCAAAGGGAATGTTCTACCACAGCGGTACCAAAATTGTCAGATCCAGGCCAGCGCTGCGGCTCACTAGGCTAATCCTCCGCCTTGCGGCGCCAGCACACCAGGTTCTAGTCCCGGTTGGGGCACCGGATTCTGTCCCGGTTGCCCCTCTTCTGGGCCAGCTCTCTGCTGTGGCCCGGGAGTGCAGTGAAGGATGGCCCAGGTGCTTGGGCCCTGCACCCCAGGAGAAGCACCTGGCTCCTGCCTTCGGATAATAGAAAAAAAAATGTCAGATCCAAAATGTGAACACTAGCCAGACTATTCTCGATATTAACTTATGGTTACATATTGTCTTGCACATTTTATCTAATTAGGGTAGTCTTTTATCATAAGTTGACTAATATAATAAAAATAAGCCTTTTTAGAGACAGAGTATGCCTTCCAAAGCAATTAAATACTATTCAAGAACTAGAGATCCTAAGAGGAACAATAAAAATGTTGAGTGGTTCTTGTATTTTGTTCTTTACGTAAGGGAGTTGCTATTTCAATCCACTGATGTTTCAGCACTTGATGTTTTGTTGATCTTGAGTCACATATGAAAAAAATATAATCTAAAGTCCTTACCACAAACACGGTGTTCATATAGAAAGATATATGACAGACACAAATAGAATATAGGATAAATACATGCCCAGAAGCCAATGATATGCAAATTGTGCTGCGAATTGTCTATTACTGTCACCACTTGTCAGCATGTCACCAAAACAGTAGCTATCTTAGACCATCACTCTCTCTAATGAGTAAATTAGAGGACTGAGGAATTACAAGAATGCATATTTTTACAGCAACACTCATAATAGAGTTATGATAACAATTGTAATAGTACAGAGTTCCTGTTTCCTGCTTAAAAAATTATTGCAAAGGAAATCCACTAAAAGGATGTCTTGGGATAAAATCGTTGTTACTATTAGAAATAACTGAGTATAAAACTAAACCTGTAAAGAAGGAAAGTGGATTTATCCTTGACAATATATTATATGCATGTCACATTTGAAAGTGTGGTGTAGGAATATAGGGGAGGTATAACTTCACAGCAGAAATAAGATACAGCTTCTGATTTTATTGTTTTTGCCAATCTGTGCACCAAAATTGGAACCTTCTTTTCTCTGTCCTCATTGTATAATCATCCCAGGCTAATTTTTTTCATCTGTGTATGCATTTATCAGAGTATCTTATGAGGAAACCTCAAATTTCAAGAGATATGCACCCGTGTAGATAATTCCAGTACATGGCAGCTTAGGTATGTAATGGGTGTAAAAGCATGTAATTGTCTTCCCTTGTTATAATGAATAATGTTGTAGAAACCTATGAAGATTCATCCTTCCTAACGGGCCTTTTACAAGTTTTCTGTCAGTCTCTACACCATCCATGGCTAAGAAATGAAAAAGGGATGTATATCAATTTAGTAAAGAAGTTTGAGCTTCTATATTCAGTTAAGAAATTTTTGTAATTCAAAGTTTAAAACTACTACTCTCTCTATTAGCAATATTACACTTAAGTTTGTTAATTATTATTTTAGTTAGCCAGAACTCTGCCAAGGATTGTTCCAGGTCAATGATGGGGATTTAGAAGTATCAACCACAAAGGATCATTTTAGCAAAAATAAAAATCTTAGGAAATATTAGTCATCTACAGTGTTGTATGTTGCAAAATCCTTTATGGGCTGAATTTTCATATCAGTGATTGTACTATGGTATAAAAATATTAGAAATATACCTGGAAAAGAGAGGGGATAAAGGAAAAAGGTTAATTTGAACAAGATATATTCCTGGCACCAATATTAATATGATTGAGCCCTGACCTTTGGAATATTGCATGCATTATTAATCCTTTGAAGACATAGATAATATGACTTTATATGCTTTTTAGGTTATAATTTGAATAACTGAGAATATAGTTTATTTTCTCAGTACCTTGCATGCTGTGAGTGGTCAATAAATACTAAACAATAATAGTATGGTATGCAGTGCATTTCTGAGCCTTCATTTGCACGGCCATCTGGAAAACTCTTGTGTTGTAAACACTAGTGTTATTTTGAGTAAGAATGAAATTACTGCAGAAGTTGTTTAGCATTCTTGGTTCATTTTTTCCCCTTGCTTTTTCACCCTTTCATTTGGTAGAAAATGTGAAATAACCCATGGAGCCTAAGGTTTGTCAATGTAAGGAGTGGAAGATTTGGATAGATTATATTTGCATAGTGGCATATATGCTATAACTTTAGGTTTGTCTAACTATTTTATGAATCTGTGTCCTTTTTGCTTTCATAAATCCTTGGTTATTTTTATGAAGTGATTTGTGTTTATGGGTATATAAAAAATAAAAACATATAGGAGCAATCTAAGGCAATATCATAAAAATGACTTAAGTGCCTGACAGGGGAACCAGGAGAATCATGGTCTTTAAAATTGTTTTCTAATGCTGTGTTTCCTACCTCTTTTCTTCCCCCTCCGTCTTCCTCCCTGCCTCCTTCCCTGCCTTCTTTCCCTCTCTCCCTCCCATTCTTTTTCCTTCAACCCATCTTTACTTCATTTGAATTTATGTTTCCTCTTCTCAGATCACAGTTTTCTCTCCCTAGCATGGCCATTGTCCTCACCAGTCATGTAAGTAGTAAGGCAATTAAGCAATAAGGCCATTTTTTCTACTAATCCCTTTTATATATTTATCTAGTTTTATAATTGACATATAATTAAAATAACATAAAATTCACTCTTAAAGTGTACAGTTTAAGATATGCATTCGGCTTAATGGTTAAGATGTTACTAGAGATGCCTGTATCCCATATTGGAGTGCATAGGTTAGAGTTAGTTAGTGCATGGCTCCACTCCTGATTTCCAGTTTCCAGCTTCTATGTGCCTGGAGGCAGCAAGTGATAACTCCTTGCTTCTCACATTGGAGACCTGAACTTAGTTACAGGCTCCCAGTTTTGGCCTGGCCTAGCCACAGGCATTTGGGGAGTAAACCCAAACGTTGTTGAAAAGGGTGGCCAATTTGTGTAAGAAGCACACAACTTAATTAAGAGACAAAAGAGACCCCCCAAATACAAACACACACACACATACACATACACTTGCAACTTGCATTAGATTCAATATTGTTGAGAATAGTCAGGATAGCCCTGGAAATCCACAACCAAAGTTCAGGGGAAAGCAACAGATTTCTGAAATAAGTCCCTATGAGAGTAAAAAAAAATATTAGAGGATTGGTTCTTAGATGGATTCATGATTAAGCTGGAAGACAAATTTTCAGTCTCAACTATGAATATTTCAATATTTATCAATCAGTCTCTTAGCTGAAAGCAAACATCCTACTCAAAAGAGTTGAATAAAGGAGCCATTTATAGAGGATTAAGGAAGCCAGTAAGGAATGGTGGGGCACTTAGAAACTAGCAATAATGCTAAACTATTTCCACATTATGGTTGAAGATTCAGAGGTAGGAAACATTCTTCCACAAAATCACCAAACAATATGCTTGTGAAGGAGGAGGTACCAAAAGGAAACTAAGACGCTTTATAGAAGAATGCAGCCAATATTCAAACCACATAATGTAAGATGGGGAAGGATACTCTAATCTTTCTATTTTTCCATCTCTCAATCTACCATAGTATCTCCTATTAATCGAACTCAATAAGAAGAAAAACGTAAAGTAACTTGCATACGAGATCCAACGATCAGTATCCCAAAGTGAAGAATATGGCAGAAAAGGACAGATAATTCATATAAAACAACAATCAAATAAGCTACCCTGCAAGAATCTTCAAACTAGAAGTGGCAAACAAAACAAGTGGAAGAACTTTTAAAGCTGTTTATATTTGTCCTACTTTCTGCAAGCTTCTGCCTTGATGGAGGCAATAGCAACATGGAGATCCACCTGCAGCAAGTTAAGTTCGACTCCAAATGATTCTGTGACTGGGCTCTGGAACAAGTATCACAGGGAACAACTAGACCGACTTAAAAACACACTTCAGCACCACTGAAAAGTTGAGGATTGATTAATTTTACTCTTTCAGTTTTATTTGTGACTTTCTGACTTTGGCCATTAGTTATCAACAAGGATGGAACAATTTATTCCAGTAAAGGGGAAAAGATTTTCTCACTGTAAGGAGTACATAAATACCTGTAGAAGAAGAAGCAATATGAACAGGACTGGACTTGAATCACAGGAAAGTACTCTGGAAGTTTGCTGACTACTTCAGGTGAGGCATGGCCCACACAGGAAAGATCATTGCATTGATGCCCTCTAAGTCGAAGATCTCAAGTAGTGTTTGCGATCACCAAAATGGAGGTGCCATTCACAGTGTAAGCCATAAAGTGTGTATTCTATATCTGTTTTCTCTGTATACAGAAAACCTAGTCCACATATTTAATTATATGGCAATCATGCTTGATTATCATGATAATTTAAAACTTTACATTATCTCTCACACTTAGCCTAATTATTAGACATATACTCATATTAAAAAATAAAGTTCAGAGCCGGCGCCGTGGCTCAATAGGCTAATCCTCCACCTTGCGGCGCCGGCACACCGGGTTCTAGTCCCGGTTGGGGCGCCGGATTCTGTCCCGGTTGCCCCTCTTCCAGGCCAGCTCTCTGCTATGGCCAGGGAGTGCAGTGGAGGATGGCCCAGGTGCTTGGGCCCTGCACCCCATGGGAGACCAGGAAAAGCACCTGGCTCCTGGCTCCTGCCATCGGATCAGCGCGGTGCGCCGGCTGCAGCGGCGGCCATTGGAGGGTGAACCAACGGCAAAGGAAGACCTTTCTCTCTCTGTCTCTCTCTCTCACTGTCCACTCTGCCTGTCAAAAATTAAAAAAAAAAAAATAAATAAATAAATAAAGTTCAAAACAAAAGGTCCTTTGTTTAATATATTTTCAATCAGAATTAGATTATCACTTCATCAATGTTCTATAAAATCCGTAACTTAGGATAAAGCAGAAAGTTCTCAATAGAGAGGTAAATATAAACAGCTTGGTAGCCCATAAATTAAGGAAAGGGCTATTCAAATAGACAACATCTACACAAGAGTGACTTCAGAAAAAAAACTGAAGGAATGTTCAGACTTAAGAAAAATAGAAACAGAGTGCATTTTGTTTTCTTTATCTGTATATCATAAACACTTCTCCCTGGAGAGGTCTTTTTCATCCCTCATTCTTTCCTCATTCATTCCTCATTCTTTAAATGAGGACTCAATTCTTAAGAGTTTATTCCATGTTAGCCACAATGGGCCCTCCCTCTTTAATGAAAAATTGCATTGCTCGTGGGGATCTCCTGTCCCCATGGGTAGTTTGTTTCTTAATCTTTATCCCCTCTTTGCACCTTAAGCATGAAAGATCAAATGATCAACAGCATGTTGTAATTAGTGCCCTCACTAATCTAATATCAAATTGACTGGTAGATTGCAGTGTTGCACTTCTTCAGAAAACAAATGCACCAGGAAATCAAATCATGCTAACATGGCCCAAGACTATCAACACATTTCCTAATTGTTGGTAACTATGTGTATGTGTTTATAATGCTTCATATGGTTTCATTAAAATAAACCCTGCATTTTATAGATTGGGCTTTTTTTTTTGCATATACAAGCATATAGGTGATCCTGTTAATCAACACTTTACATAATCATGTGTACTATTCCTTCATTTTTATGCAAATCCTTTCTGCAACCAGACAGGTGCATTGTCTGCTTTGTATTCATCATCAAGAAATCCAATAACTTGGCTGTGTACCTACATCTGGTTAGGGGTTGACCCAATATGTACTTGCATGCAGATTTCAAATGTGGGCAGGTGTTGAACCTATCACAACTACTAGCAATTGGAATCTCATTCACCTCTACAAAGACAACCAGAGATTTTTTTTAAAGGATTATAATTTGGAGTTTGATGCCCAGGTCCTTCTCGGGGGAAAGGGGGATTTGTTTAATTGCTGAAGCAGCACTGAATTCTAGGTCCTCTAGGATTCTGGCATGCAGTAAAATGTAGTCGCATGAAACTTAGAACTAATGCTAAATGAAAAAAAAGAATTAAATTTCAAAATCAAAGAAAAAAATGCACAGCCTATGTTTGGTGGTGTATTTTTCACAGTGTTTGCCAACAGAATTGGCCTTCTCTGTGGAGCACAGGAGTCAGGAAAGAGCTGGACTCTGAGGACAAAACAATGAGTCATCCATAACGAGGAATCGTGCTGCAGCTCTGCCTCCTCCTCACCAGCACCCTCCCCCCAGCGCCAGTGTGCTCTGAGGAGGACACTGATGCCACTACTTGTAGGCAGCTATTAATCAAAAAGCCCCTTTTGGATCCTCTATTTTTGGTTTTCAGGGAACAGAACTGCTAACACATAAGGTCACAACCAGTTGCTCTGCAGCAATGAAGATTTACATTCCCACAAGAGAGAGGAAGCAAAAAACAAGAAAGGCCAAGATAGCTTTGAAAACTGTCTGCTGTCTCATGGCCATGCAGGCAGCCTAGAAACCTGGGAGAAAGGAGGAGAGGGAAAAAGTGTGAACACTCATACATCACTGGCCAATTTGTAGTGTGTAGTCTTGTATATGTGCCCTTAATTCCCGAGGCATGTGTATTTTTTTTTTTTTTGGCAGAATAGGGATTTGGAAGGAAGAAAAACCACTTCGTACCTAAAGCAGACAGAATGAAACAGTACCGGGAGGAGGGAGTATTGGAGGGAGTGTTATGAGGCAGGGGCTTAAAAATGATTGGAGGAAAACTGAGCACTAGGAGAAGAAATGAGAGAAGAGAACAAAACAAGGAGGGAAGCATGCAGATTCTGCTTATATTTTACAAGGGGGAAGGAAGGAAAAAAAGTCTGCAAAGGAGGGAGGAAGAGGGAGAGAAAAGAGAGGTGGAAATGTGATTTGTCAATGAAAATATACATTTTGCGGTAAAGTTCATGTAAGTTGGCCTGCCAGGATATTGCTTTTAGAACTGAGAAGGAAGCCAGCTCCTCCTGCCTCTATGCCTGTGTGGCACAGAGGGGACTTCTCTCGGAGGCCAAAAGAACATGTCAGCCGCTATGAGCCCTGATCAGTGAAGAGCGTCTTTATTTCAGTCAACCCTTAGAAATGACAAAGTGCCACCAAGCTCTCAGGGTAAGAACTGCCTCTCGGATCACAGTTATGAAATAGAGTGTGGCAGATCACACTGAGTGAGACACTCAGCGGCATTCGGTGGATTCACTTGTGATTCACTTTGCTTCATTTATGCTTGAACTTGAGAATTGTAGGCATGCACTAGTTTAAATCCAAGAGATCTGCTTGACAGGGTGAGAAATTAATCTGATCCATTAGTTCCCACCATAGAGATCCCAAACTGAGAAGTGACATAGAGGAGTTAGTGGGGATATTAATGGTGGGAATAGGATCCTCAAACGAGAACCTGCAGGTCAAGGAGGGACTTGATTTGCTCTGTTTTTCTTTTTGTCAGCAGTGGTTATGCCTTTTACAAAGTCTTTGTCTCACTAAGCATTTCTGATAGCATTGCCAACATTTGAATATGTTCTCTGCAACACAAGTGACCCAAGAGTGTGAATGAGTCTTGCAAAGGTGTCTGAATTGAACCTAGAAGAGATCTCTGACATGAGTGTAGCCATCTTTCTAGGAAGCAGCCAAGATCCTTTCACAGGATCATGTTTGTCATTCTACAAAGCACCATGGTTTGAGGTGCCCATGGCATTCAACAAACACTTATCGAAAACCCACTGTTTCCATTATTTATTCCCAAATGTTGGGTTAAAGGGATAGTGGGGATAAATAAAAAGTGATCTGTGTCGACAAGCTCAAAACAAGGCAGAGTTAAGAAAGACCAGCTCCTGGTTTAATTAACCCATAGTATTTGAATTAAAAAGGGGAAAAACACTCTCAGCATTATTTCCTGACTTATCCTAGGGGTGAGATAAATATTTAAGTGTATTGTAAAAGATCATATTCTCTTTACTATTTTTTTTTCACCTGAGAATTCCCATCAGCATTGAAGCTGGAAATCTAGTTTGTGGTTTCTCGAAATTTCACTTACTTCAGCATGTTAAAAAGAATGCCCAAAAGGCAGATTTGTTTTTCTTCTATGCCACTTCTCAACTCTTTTTTCCCCTCCTCCTGCATGGAAAAAAGTCTTATAACTGTAAACTGGTCTCCTGCTTGGTTTAATTTTCTTCACCAAAACATTGACCATTGTCAAATGCCTTACATCTCCATGGAAACCGTTTCCTTGGCCATAGACAAAGGTCTGCCTATAACACAATGCCATGAGAGTGTCTGGGGTTGTAGACCCCTTGTTTAAAATCGCAGTGCGAAGGCATAATGTAGATTTTGTATTATTTCTGCCTGTCTGCTGCAGCTGGTAGGCTTTCATTCCAAAATAATATTTTTTCAAATGAACTAGCAGAAAACAGCTTTACATTTTTGTTATCCCTTCCAGCACAAAATAAAAAATGCCTGTGCTGCCACTACCTGATTCAATCAAGTGGAGTACATTCGATACCCACAGGCTACAAGTGCTGGAAAAGCTGACTTGTATTTTAATTAATAATGTGCTACACTTTCTCAACAGCTAGGCCTTTGGCAATCTGATTTGCTTTGTTCATTATTTGCTGCAAACAATTTTCAAACAACATGTAGGCAACTCTATTTCTGAATATCTCCTGCTAATTCATAACATTAACAAAAATAGAGAGGAGGTTTTTTTTTCTTCCTTGCCAAAAAAGAGAGACTTGATTAAACTTTAATCATAGCAAATGGAGAATTTGGAATGAGAATATTGGAGTTTAGAGGTACCAGAAATAAAAATAAATAAATTCTAAAAGCCTCCAACACACATATACACACACACACATAGGATGAGTATATGTATATACAAGAAAGTGTTTATAAAGGGTACTTAAAATTTTTGTGCAATACTGGAATTAAAAGGTAATGTAAACTTTATACAAACTTGTTGAAGCCATCTCATGTATGTAAATATGGAGATACTTGTTCACACATGTATATTCTGCTAGTTCACTAGAATTCATATATAGGATATATAGGATATCTGCTTCATATATAGGATGAAGCAAACATATCCACTGAAAATCTGGTGGCACAGCATGAGAAACTATCAGAAATGTTATTTGATGTAGTGTTATGGACTGAATTGTCTCTCCCCAAAATTACTGTTAACACCCTAACTCCTCATGTGACTGTATTTGGCCATAGGGCATGTAAGGAGGTCAATCCTAAGTTATTATTTCAGTTGCTATAACAAAATACCAGAGGCTGGATATTTATAAAGGAAAGATGTTTATTTAGCTAACAGTTCCAGAGGTTCGAGAGCGTGGTGCCAGTGTATGCTCAGCTCTGATGAGGGCCTCATGGCAGATGGCAGGAGCATATGTGGAATAAATCACATGGCAAGACACCATGAGCAGGGAGGGGTCAGTCTTTCTCCTTTAGAGCCACCCGCACTCACACGTGTGAAGTCACACTTTTTAAGGGTGATGTCTCCAATGATTCAACCCTTTTCCACTAGACCCCACCTCTTAAAGGTATCAGTGCCATTTATTACCACCACACTGGAGATAGAATCTCAATACAACCCTTCCAGGGATAAACAACATCCAAATTGTAACAAAGGGTACAGTCCTAACCTAATAGGGTTAGTATCCTTATAAGAACCAGCAGAGAACTTATTCACTCTCTGTACTATGAGAGGGCACTGCAGGAAGGAAGCAAGATTCTGGAGAGAGCTGTCAGCAGGACCTGATCATGTTGGCAGCCTAACCTTGGACTTCACATCCTTCTGTCTTTCGTTAAAGCTACCCAGTTTAT